GGCCTGTGCAGTCACACGGAGCCCCACGCTTGTTGCAGTGCTCTGCTATTGCTGTCTTGAAATCCTTAATTTTTGAACAAGGGGTCTGCAATTTCAGTTTGCACCGGGCCTGCAAACTAGGGAGCCGGTCCTGCCCACTGACTTTGTGCGCGCAATGCCTGGCTCCACATCTAACAGCCTCCCTCTTTCCTTTCCATCTCTAAATCCCACGGCAAAGTCCTGATGGAAAAATATTTGAAAAACCACAGAGGAGAGACGTTGTATTTGGAGGAGCTTTTCTGCTCAGCTGCAGATGGAATGGAGATGGTTGATAACAGACATGTTAAATCTCTCTGCCACGCTCGAGATCGTCTTGGCTCTGTCCACGGCTAACGGGTGATGGAGGCCTTCTACCCCCAGTCCTGGGGTAGTCCTGGTATCACATTCCTCGAAGAAGTGTAGGGGATCATATCTAATAAGCTCATTTTGTCCTGCCTTTAGAGTACAGTCCCAAGCAGGACATGGGGACGAGGCCGGATTCTCAGGCCCATGCTGGTATCTGCATGCCCACTCACCTGCTATGACTTCAGACAAATCCCAGTCCCAAAGCCTCAGTTTAATCTTCTGCAAAATGGGTCACACTTGACATCATGAGGCTTTGGGGCCTCAACTGCTCATCTCTCTGTGGGTCAGGGGCAGATCCCGAGCTCTTTTCTGAAGCTTTGTCCGGTATTTTTAGAGGTAGGTGGCCATTAATTCAGGAACATGTCCTCTCTACCACTTCTGATCTGTGGCTGGCAGAGGACATGAATCTAGCCGTGCAGTTCTAGAGGGTTCCTTCCCCTTTTCCCTGACGTCCATTCAGGGAGCTCAGGTGAGGCAACCTCACTCTGGATCTGGTCTCAGATTTGTCAGCCGGGCCCGCAGAGGGCTGAGTTCCTGGCCCAGGTCGTTTTCCTCCTGCAGAGCTGCGCGCTGGCGTCCTGCCGTAGCCAGCCTGTGAGCACGGCGACAGGCAGCCTCGTGAATCTTACTACGTCTTTAGGACGGGGTGTTCTCAAAGGCATTGTCCTCGACATCACAGAATGGCCCCTTTGCGGAAGAAGTATTTGGGGAGATTTCCCTCTGGTCCCAGCACTCAGAAAAACTGCAGAGTGAGTTTTCCCCTTGGGTGCTGTCGTCCCTCCAAGAGCTGAGCTGCTGGGACACTCGGAGCCGGAGCCGGGACCCTGTCTGGCAAGCAACGGGCCCGTGGGCAAGACGGTCTGGGGTCAGCCTGCCCAGGCTTGGTTGGCAACCTCCCCTCCTTTACTTGCTCTGGTTCCCGCAGCTTTTTGTTTGGCACTTTTCTCTTGCGTGTGCTTCATGCACTCTCTGCTGCAGAACTAGGTGTGGCATAAATAAATACGTGGATTCATGTTTAAATCCACGACATTTCCAGGGGCGCTGTGAGGATTGAGAACCGATTGCATTGCAATTGCCATGGAGCTGGGCAGGTGGGAGACCAGGGGTCCTTCCTCTGGGGGGCTCATCCTGCCACAGACGGCCGCCCCACCCCCAACCGCCAGGCCCGAAGTATTAACTGGCACCTGTTGTTTTTTTTTAATGAAATGAAAGGTCACTAAACGCACTTTGAAATCTTTGCAGCCTCCCTTGACAGTTCATCAAATTGACTTGAGAGCTGAGAAGTAAAACCGCGGCTGAAACTCTCATTTGGTGGCACCAGCAGGGACTTGTCGGGGCAGCCACACCCCGCAGGCCCCGAGGGACGGGAGGGACGGGAGGGACTGATCTTCGGGAAAGGCCCCCCGGGAAGGAGGGTGTAGGCATGGAGGAGGGGGAGCTGGGGAGCCTGGAGGGCGGGGAGCAGGCCCCAGCACCGTGGGGCCCTGAGTCGGGCGCAAGCTTGGCCTAGGTGTGAGTGGACCAGGGCCGCAGAGGTTTTCAGAGCGTGTGCTCAGAAAGGAAATCGCAGAGCTCCTGGGACCACGTGTGCTTTTCAATAAGGGAGAGAAAATGTTCACCGTGGACCAAGCGACTGTGCTCCCTGCCCTGCCCCTCCGGGCTGCGCCAGCACCTTCCCTCCACGCTCGGCCGCCTTCTGCAGGGGCGAAGCCACCTTGGCGTCCCAGCTGAGCACCACCAGGCCCAGCCGCGGCCCCGCTTGCTGCTTGTGACGTGACGTGAGCAGAGTAGGAGCCGTCACCCGCCTTTCAGGAGAGGAAGCTGAGTCTCGGGAGGGCAGTGACGTGCCCCAGGGTGCCAGTCCCAGGTCTGCGAGGCCTGTGCCCTTTGCACCGAGGCAGCAGCCTGGCAGCCCTGCGTGTGTCCCGGGAGCCGGGCCGGGCCGGGGCCTGCGGGAGGGCGGGCTCACGCCTCGTGTGTCTTCCCGGCAGTGGAACCTGGTGTGTGAGGAGGACTGGAGGATACCGCTCACCACCTCCCTGTTCTTCGTGGGCGTGCTCCTGGGCTCCTTTGTGTCGGGGCAGCTGTCGGACAGGTAAGGGCGCTGCGAGGGATAACAGGAGGGACGGGGCCCCTGGTTAACGGACTGCCCGTCTTGGGCTGGGGCTGAATTCAGGGTGTTTCCACCCAGAGACAGGAGGACCCTCAGGCCACTGGGTCAGTGATGGGAGGAGGCCTGGCCTTGCCTTCAGTCCCCATTGCCGGCACCTGCTTTTGGTCTGGTCACCCTGCCTCGTGCTCCCAGGGCTTTGGCCGGTGATGGGGAGGGTCTCCTGACCCCACCGGAAAGCACAGTCCTCACACCACAGACCCCGTGACAAAACGCGATGCTGCCATCACCCCTGCCCTCCCACGCCGGCCCCAGCTCAGGGGTGGGGTGGAAGACGCGTGATCTGTGCAGACAGCAGCCGGAGCCAGGCCATGAGCACGAACTGTGCACTCACCGCGGCGCTGGGCCGGGCCGCTGGCGGCTCACGGGGCCCCGGAGCTGCCCAGGCTGGCTCTGGGCCTGATGGAGCCCACGGGCTGGAGGAGACAGTGTCGCAGCCCGGGAGACGTGTCCCCCGGCCCCCAGACGTTCTGTGGGGTGGCTAGATGGCAGGTCTGGAGGAAGCTTCCTAGAGGAATGCCTGGCCCTCCCCAAGCTGCAAAGCCCAGTGACACCCCCAAGCCAACAGCTGAGGCCTGAGTTTGGAAATGGGGCAGGAGGCTGTGCTGATCGCACCTGTGCTCCGTTCCACCCATTGGTCAGCTACCGGGCGTGAAATTAACACTGCCACCAGCTACGGGGTCACCAGCAGAGATTGCTGAAAGGAAGCTTAGAATCGGAAGGCAGCCCCTGAGCAGATGGATGCCTGAGGCCACAGCAGGAGGAAGCTGAGAGGATGTGACGGGAGAAAAGTCTCGTGTCGCCTGACTCGGGGCTTGCAGCACACCTCGAGTTAGAGCCTCATGCAACCCGCACGTCTCACGATCCGTGTTGTGCTGTGTTCTGCAGGTTTGGCAGGAAGAGCATCCTCTTCACGACCATGGCTGTGCAAACCGGCTTCAGCTTCCTGCAGATTTTCTCCGTCAACTGGGAGATGTTCACGGTGCTGTTTGTCATCGTGGGCGTGGGCCAGATCTCCAACTACGTGGTAGCCTTCATACTAGGTAGGAACGGCTCTGAGATAGAGGGGTCCTCCCGCAGACCCTCCGAAAGGCCAGGAAAGAGAAAGCCACTGGGCTGAGCTTCCACAGCTTGATGGGCCTGAGTGTCTGTGTGCCGGGGGGAGTGTAGCCGTAGGCTCTTCAAGCCAGTGATGGGCAGGGCAGGCGCGGGGAGCCACCTCCGCGCTGGGCCCTAAATACGGTGGAGAACAAGAGCTGGCGCTAGGCCGGGCGCGGTGGCTCACGCCTGTAACCCTAGCACTCTGGGAGGCCGAGGCGGGAGGATTGTTTGAGCTCAGGAGTTTGAGACCAGCCTGAGCAAGAACGAGACCCTGTCTCTACTAAAAATAGTAAAAATTAGCCGGGCATGGTGGCGCATGCCTGTAGTCCCAACTGCTTGGGAGGCTGAGGCAGGAGGATCACTTGAGCACAAGAATTAGATTGCTGTGAGCGAGGCTGACGCCATGGCATGCTGCCCTGGGCAACGGAGTGAGACTCTGTCGCAAAAAAAAAAAAGCTGGAGCTGGTAAGAACCAGCCACGCAGCTAAGACACATGTCAGGAGCAGGCTCGGGAGAGGTGCAGAAGTCTAGGGCAGGGACGGCCGGGAGAGGTCTTTGCTCTGAGCTGTGAGGGGCCGAGGCCTGTGCAGGGACCAGGGTGGTTGGTGTGACCAGCACACGGGTGGGGGAAGTCCACGCCAGCCCGCCGCCGTTGGGCAGAGCCGGCCTCACCCCGAGGCAGGGCCGAGCCCAGAGCATATCGGCTCAGCGCAGGACAAGCCTCTCTTTGCTGATACTCGTCTGGCTCCTATCAGGCACGTGAGGGAGACAGCCAGCCACAAGGCCACGCAGAGGACCTCGGGCCCTCAGCAGCTTTCCTGGGAGGAAGCGCGGAGAGCCCAGGCCAGCTGGTCCGGTCATCCGCAGGGGCGAGAGCCGCCGTGCGCTCTCTGAGCCCACTGGGCAGGCGAGGGAAGGGGAGCTGAGGGCCATCCTGGGACAACAGACACCAGTTCCCAGACTCTCCAGTGTGACAGTATTTTCTAGTTGGCTCGCACAGTCCCTGTTTGTCCCCATTGTCACAGTGTAACTATTGGCAGTGCCCCCTTAATGCAAGTCTAACGATTCTTCTCATCTCCAGAGGCTGCATCTGGCCCGGTGGCTCTGATTGCCGTTAGGGGAGCCGCTGCCTTTTCCCAGCTGTGTGCACAGCGCAGGGTGCCAGCACGGAACTGTGCGAGCTCCCTCCTTCCATTGTTTGTGCTGAGCTCGGTGCTGCAGCCTGGCCTCCGAGGGGAGGCGGTGGGCAGAGCCGGCTGAGGGCGCTGCTCTCCTGCCCGCAGGGGGACGAGGGGAGCGAGCGTGTCTCAAAGATCATTTCTGTAGAGGCACAGCGGGCTTCAGGACAGTGCTGGGACCTGGAGACCGGAGGAATTTAGGACAGACACTGCAACCTCCTAGCGCCTATGGCCCCAAGAACGTGCGGTTCCTGGCGTGGCGAAGCCTGTCGTTCTCATGTTCTGAGTCCCCAGAATCTACCTTCCTGGCGTGACCCTCCCTGCACCTGAAAAGCCCAGCGTGTGGCTGTGTGTGGGCCAGACCCAAAACCAAATGGGCCTCCCTAAAGCAGAGGGCTCTGCCCACGGCCAGCAGACCCACTCAAAGGAGGACCCAGAGGGCCATCTGGAATGGAAGGGCAGGGAGTCGCGGTGAAGCCAGAGCAGCTCTGTCACTGGGATTGGGACAGGGGGACCCGTGCCAGGCGGTGGCACCCCCGGGTTCTGTGTAATGGTCAGCACTGAGACCTACCTCTCTGGTGGCACAGGTGCTTCTGGAGCCTGGGAGCCTCCCCTCTGCGTGGCTGGGAGGGGAGCACAGCCCAGGCTTCCTGCGGGAAGGCCACCCTGCTGGCCCCGACACTGCCATCTGCTCCCTCGCACTCCCCTCGCGGCGCCGTGCAGCTGCGTCCCACGTGCAGGGCAGGGGCGAGCAGAGGGCGGAGGGGAACGTGAGGCCACGGGAGATCATCAGGGCCGAGGGCGGCAGGCGGGACGCCAGGTGCGGCCGACTCGCTATCAGCCGGCACGCGCCGCTCGGGCGCTATCAGCTGCGGTCCAGGCTGCTTGGGAGCCGCTGCGGCTGTGGTTTTACTCCACTGGGCTCTGCAGGAAACGGCTAACTTTTGTGTCCTGGTGCGGGACGTGTCGTGTTGGGTTTCAGGTCTGAGAGTTTGAGAGCGTCACTAAAAACCAGCCTGCCCTGAAGCAGTGGGCCCCCGTCGGCACCTGGGTGGGGGACACAGCATGAGGGCGAGGCGGCCTCTGGCCTCCCACGGTGCAGCAGCGCTCTCTGGCGTTTCGGGGCTAAAATAGCCAAATTCCAGGCTTTCTTTGACTGAAATAAACCAGACGGTGGGGTCTGGGCTGAGAAGTCCCGTAGGTGCCGTCCCTTTTGCCCTCTGCTCTTGGGAAGGGTTGACCAGGCTCTGCCACGACCACCTCCAGTCCCGGAGTCTTCACGTTGATCCGAGGAGTGAATCACTCCCACTCTCAAAGCGGGGCAAGAACGGGTCTTCTCGTGCTGCTTTCTGAAGATCATCGAGCCCATCGGAGCCATAGGAAGCCAGGAAAGAAAGAACAGTGCTGCCTAACACAACGTAGATCAGACGCCTGGGAGCAAAGGTGCTGCCGGAACGATGCTGGTCTAAGAGGAAACGACTGCTCTGGACCGAGGACGCCGACCCAGCCACGCTCCAGCTCCCCGCACCGCCTCCTCCTGTTTCCCAGAAATGACGCCCGCCGCTTCCGGGTAAAACGCCAGCAGCATAGTCTTCTTTCCCCCGTAAGTAGGTGCTTCAGTGAATTCTGCATGAAAAGTTAACTGTCCCCAATCTTGACTGATTCATTAACTCGGTATTTTCCGTACTTCTAACGTCAACCCCACGCCACGCACGCTTCCCTGGGCGTGCTGAGCCGCTGACAGCTTTGCTTCCTCTGAAGTCCAGATGTCCCTCCCTTTGGTACGCGTGTGACTGATGGAGGACATCTTCCCTTTGGCTACCAGGAAGCTCTGGCAAATTTGAAATTTGACTGCATCAATTACACAGCTTTTACCAGCCACATATTTTTGAAGTGTTTTTAAATTGAAATATAGTTTTGTCCTCGTCTGCTTGGGAAGCCCATAACAAAAGACTGTAGACCGGGAGACTTAAACCGCAGAAATGTGTCGTTGCACCACTCTGGAGAGTGGATCCAAGATCCAAGTGCCGGCAGGGGAGGGCTCTCCTCTTGGGGCGCAGATGGCAAAGAGAGAGAGAGAGGGAGAGTGCGCTAGTGTCTCTTCTCATAAGGACACTAATCCTATCAGAGCAGGGCCCCACCCTATGACCACACTTCGCCTTAATTACCTCCTTACTCCAAACACAGCCACACTGGGGGTTAAGGCTTCGATGGATGAGTAATGGGGGACACAAATATTCAGTCCATAACAAATTTGCACACCATGATACTCACTCTTTTGAAGTGTACAATTGAGTGGTTTTTAGTATAACATATTCACAAAGCTGTGCCGTCATCAACTCTATCTAACTTCTCATCACTCTGAAAAGAAACCCTGTGCCCGTTAGCAGACATTCCCCTCTTCCCCAGCCCTGGCAAGCACTGATCTACGCTCCGTCTCTGATGGGTCCGCCTCTTCTGGACAGTTGATGTACATGGAATCACGTAGCAGTGGCCTTCGTGACTGGCTCCCTTCACTGGCTGTTTCCAGACGGGTCCACGTCACAGCGTGAGTTGGATTCCACTGCATGAACACAACACGGTTTGTTGGTCCATTCATCAGCCATTGGACATCTGAGTTGTCGCTACTTCGGGGCTATTATGAATAATGCTATGAGCATTTGAGAATGAGGTTTTTGTGGCTACGTGTTTCCAGTTCTCGTGGAGTTGAGCCTGAGCCCACTTACCGATGAGCTGAGTTGCAGGGTCCGACGGTGACTCTGTGCTTAACCTTTGGAGGAACCGCCAAGCTGCTTTCAAAGTGATCAGCTGTATATTTTTGTTCCTTTCTCCAAGGCACGACTTTTTACTTTTCTTTATATTTTAATGTTACCATTTTTTATTGTATTTAAATGAGAAGCTGCCTCAAAAATCTCCGAGAGGTGTGTTGGGCTATGAATACATAAACACGAGGCAGAGTTGCTGGCGCCCTTGTTTGCATTGCAGCGTGGGAGGGGAGGGCTGGGGGACCCAGGGAGGAGCAGGGACTGGCTGTCTGTTCACAGGGAGCTCACTGGTTGTGCGGAGGCTGCCAAGGCAGTTGTCAGCGAGGACATGGGGACGTGGAGCGGGGAAGAGAGCACTGCTGGCTATATGCAGAGATCCGAAAGCTTACTTCTGACGGGAGCAAACTGCGCAGGTTTATAGAGGAGAAAAGGGAAGCCTTGGGCAGGGGAATACCTATTTATTTGATGAGAATCCTGAGCATTTTCTGGCAAGCAGAGAGGTGCTGCTGTCTTCCACGGGGCCTCCTGGTCAAAGGCACTGTGTTTTCTATCATTGCCCTGACGTGTAGCACATCTCAGCTTCTTGACCAGGATAAAGGAATAACTATTACTAAGCACCTATCATGTGCCAGACAACCTACTAGGCACTTTACATACGTTATCTCGGTCCTCATGATACTACCTTCACGAAGCAGGGCTGATCAAAGTCGCTCTAGCAGGAACTTGGCGTTGGGGAGCCCAGGCTCCCTCTGCATGTCCATGGCGGACACTCCCGGCCCAGGGCTCCTGGGTCCCACCCACATCCTGGCAGCTGCGCCAGTCTCATTCCTGAGCTGGGGTTTGCTACGGCCTCTGCTGGTCGTTCGCAGACGGGCATGTCCTGCTTCCGCGTGGCTCCTGGGGCTGGCTGCTTCAGAAGCGCCCTGATCTACTGATCTACGGAAGGGAGCGGGGCCCTCTCTGAGCCACTCCCTCTGGGGAGAGGGTGTTCAGACTCGGGAGGAGGTGACAGGCAGGGGCAACACTCCTGACGTTACTCAGAGCGGGTTGGTTGGCCTCCAGCTGGTTTGACCGGACCACAAAGGGAAAATACAAATTCTCCCTCTGAAGGGGGGGTGTGGCCTCGCCCTCTCCCCTCAGTCTCAGCTGGAATCTC